GTCTTTAAGACCCCAGATTCTATATCTTTTGATAGCCAGGCACCAGCCGCTTTCTTTATCACATTTGCTTATGCACCCATTTAGTCTTTTTTATATTTGTCTTACATACTTTGGACGTGTTGTCAGGAAAGACCAGTCCCTGGAGAAGGACATCATGGTTGGTAAAATAGAGCAGCAGCAAAAAAAAAAAAAAGAAGGCCCTCATCAAGATGGCTGCAACAATGGGCTCAAGCGTAGAAACAATTGTGAGGATGGTGAGGAGGCAATGTTTCATTTGTTCTGTTGTGCATTGGGTCACTTTGGGTCGGAACTAACTTGATGACACCTAATAGCAACGACAACAATAAAAATGGGTGTGAAACAGTATCTCATTGTACCAACTCCTGTTCCTCCTCTCATTTCCCAGTCTTCCCACTCTGTAATCTACTTTGTGTTCCAACCAAAGTAAACCTCCTGCTGTGTTTTCAGTGGGTTTCTTGAGATCCACAAACCATGCCTTTGTTCACCCTTCAGATATATTACCTGACTCAACATTTTTGCTGAGGGAAGGAAATGGCAACTGGCAGTTCAAAAGAGCAGGAAATTGTAAGGTCTTTTACTTTCCTACCACACGGACACCTCCAGGTCCCTCCTACACACCGGCCCCCACACCTTCCATGCAGCTTACCTGTCATCTTGGTCATACTTGGTTAAGATTATTGCTGAACTATGAGTAATAATGAGGCCCAGGCTTGTTCCAGGGGAGAATGACATACAAATTTAGCAATTAACAAAAGAAGAGAAATGACTGCCCTTTATACTGTAGTTGAGAAAGCAATATACATTTCAATAATAAAGCCTCTGCCATTGAATAGATTTGACTCATAGCAACCCTGTAGGTCAGAGTAGAACTGCCCCTGTGGGTTTCTGAGGTTGTGACTTTTTTGTCACTAAAAAAATCAATTTATTGGGGACTCTTACAGCTCTTATAACATTCCATACATCAATTGTAACAAGCATATTTGTATCTATGTTACCATCATCATTTACAAAACATTTTCTACTTGAGACCTTGGTAAAAACTCCTCTTTTTCCCCTCCCTCCCTTCCCCTCCACTCCCATCCTCGTGAGTCCTTGATCAATTATATATTATTATTATTTCATATCTTACACTAATAACAGAATAACAGAAATGTGGGTGAAGGGAGACAACAGACAGTGTAAGATATGAGACTGTCACTTTATGGGAGTAGAAATCCTCATCTTTCTCCCAAGGAGCAGCCACCAAGTTTCCTTCCATTCAAATAATACTCAAAAACTCATTGCCATCGAGTTGATGCCAACTCACAGTGACCTTATAGGACAGGGTGTAACTGCCCTCTTGAGTTTCCAAGTCTAACTGTTTATGAAAGTAGAAAACCTCGTCCTTCTCCCGAGGAGTTGCTGGTAGTTTTGAACTGTGGCCCTTGTGGATAGCAACCCAACCCATAACCACTAAGCCACTAGGGCTCCTTATTTAAATAATAGCAAAGTCTTATTAGGAGTCCTAGGGTGGCACAAACATTTACTCTCCTACTAGCCAAAAGGTTGGTTGTGTGAACTCACTCAGAGGCTTCTTAAAAGACATGCCTGACTATCTGCTTCCCAAAGGCCAGGGCCTTGTTCAGTCTCGGGAGCCGTTCTGCTCTCGGGAAAAGTAACCGCAAAGTCTTACAAAGACTGCCAGCCTCACGATGCAGACTCTGGTTCGTGGTCATCAAGACATCAGGGAACATAGCAGTCTTGGATTAATTATCCCTCCCACCACCCGAAAGCTACTGTTATAATCAAAAGCAGGGATCTGATACCTGGCTTCACTTCCTTCCTCTTGCTGGCTGCTTTTGAATAATTTCCTTTTTGATGAGCACTTTCATCAGGAAGGAAGAAGAAATTAAGAACGATTTATTTGACTAATCATGAGTAGCTTATGCTGTCAAAAAATAATCAATGGTTTAAATACTGTAAATACATTGTATAAGATGAGTTTTTCAGCACATTTTTAATGCAGTTTTTGTCATAAATGTAGGTGCCTTGGCTGATAATCAGGTCGGCTTATACTCGATATTATACGGTATGTCTTTGGAACGGTACTCACCCTTTTTATTTTGGTTGTACACAAACACGTTAGCATGATGCTGACTGTACTGAAGTGAACCAGGGCTAAAAGTCTTCTGTAAACAACCACACACTCTTGACCCCTTCGACATGCCCGCCCTCCCTGAGTAAGGGCCCAGGTTTCCACGCAGGCCCTCTTGTAAGTGCTGCCTGCCATTTTATAATAGTGGGATGAGCTGCTCCGATTTCAAAGTTCCCAAAGACTAATTTTGAAATAATGCAGCTTCAAGTCTGCTGAAAACATGCTAGGACTAGAATATACACCGAATTTCGATGATGCGTTGTCAGATGAGTCATTCAGTGGCTCTAATTCAGTTCAGAGAGCTGACAGTCCTGAACTCTCACAGTTGGGTGGATTTTCAAACCCTCCTGAGATTGACTTGGAGCCGGGAAGAACAATGAAGTCATGCATACCTCAGATGATCTCAGACTCAAGAAAGTAAAATCCTTTCCATATTTTATAGTTTTAAAAATGTCTTCAACCACGTGGATGGTTTTCATGATTTTCCATGAAGCAGTGTTGCAAAACAAAAATGTATTTTGAAGACTGTGTTAGATATAAAGTCACGGTGCCGCCCAACTCAGGAGGAATGAGGAAGTGAATAACCAGGAAAAGACAGACTATTGACCGAGGAGCCCTCTTGAAGAATCATAGAAATTCATTGCTAGGGGCATTACCCAGTACTCAGAGTCTCCACAGACTTCTTGGATTAACACGTGGTGCCTTATCCGAATTCAATGCCTATTCCACAAATACTATCTGCACTTCTCAAATTTCCACTGCCCCTCACTCCCAGAACATTGCCTTGGCTTGAACTTGACCCCATAGGGATGAGCTCCTTTTCCAAGTGGCCCATCTATTATAAACATGCAATCCACCAGAAGTGACCCTCACATCATTCATACAATGGCCATTTCTTTGGAAATCATCTGAAACCAGCCCCTGTATCCTATCGTCTGCATATGTTTTTAGTTCCTTCCTCTCTATTGGCTCAGTCCTTCAGTTTATATGTTCAAGATTCTTCTGCTTTTATTAAATACATACACAGACACACAGGTATGCAAACACGTACACCTGGACTCCCAAGCAATCTGACTTTACAAATTCATGTCTTGAGATGTTTTTAGTCCATAGCAGCACTAGATAAAATATTAAATTGATCAAATTGCCACAAAAGGGCAAACATCTGCAGAAACTGTTCCACTGGACCCCAACAAAAACATCCAGTTCGGAGCTATGACGGATGGACTCTGAATCATGGTCTGGAAGGCGCTAGAAATGACCACGAATGCCTCTGTTGCAACTCCTCTGTCAAAATTCCCCTTGGCCGACACAAATCCACCCACCCAGCCAAACAAAAACCTAGCTGCTCTCCAAAAGAGCTCAGCAAAAAACAGATGCCAGGCCTCAGCTGCAGACCGTAGACAGACCACCTCATAGTTTCTGCAGCACATTCCAAGAAGGAAGGACCTCAGGTCCTTCTGTCACCATATCCATCTCTGCCATTGGTCTTGGGGATTGTGTAACATGTCACAGTGGGAATGCATCATTCCTTATGTAATCAGCCTCTTAAGTTTAAGCAATGAAGTTACTGAAAATCTCACTGACCGAACTCTTCTTCTTTCAAACCCAGAAAGTTCATGCAACTCTGTAGAAAGCAATTTTCCCCACAGAAATTATAGCAGTCTATTTTATCAGGAAAAAAATCCTGTTTTTGAAATTGTAAACATGTTTCAAAAAGAAAAAGAAACAGAGGGTTAGAAGTGGAAACTTCTAATCCTCAGGGTCTCCCCATCTTTCTTGTGTGACTGTAGGCAGGTTTCCTGGGGCGGGTGTGCCACTTTGTCAGACAAATGAACTAACTGGAAAACAATGGTTGGCTAATGGCACCACAAATATGCCAAATATTGTTTTTAAGTCAATGCTCTGATTCGCTCACCAATGAGCCGAGTGGGAATCCCAAATACTAACAGACATCATTTTTCATAGACACTGGAGCACATGTGATTGGTTTCTCTCGGGTTCTAAGATCTATTTACTTTTTTTTTTTTGGTAAGTAAAGGTTATTAAGACAAATGGAAATTTCAGTAACTTATTTTTTTTAACTTTGGTCAACTCTATATAAGGAGTCTCTGGGTGATGCAAACAGTTGAGCACTTGTCTACAAGCCAATATGGTGATGGTTTGAACCCACTCAGAAGCACCTCAGAAGAGAGTCCTGGCAAACTGCTTCCAAAAATGTCACAGCCTTGAAACCCCTCCAGGGACAGTCCCACTCTGCAACCAACAGCAACACAAACATATAATGTGCCGTTTTGATCCTATTTGAGTGTACACTTTAGTGACCGTACGTACAATGTTATGTAACCGTTAACACCATTTAAAAAAAACTTGTCATCGCTCGCAACAGAAACTTGGTACTCAGAGTCACTCTGCCCACCCCGCCACCCTCTGCCACCATTTACTTTCTACTCACCATGTTTCCTCTAAGTGAGGTCAGAAAACATGTGCCCTTTCTGGGACTGGCTGCTTTTGCTCAGCATGAGGGTCTCTAGGCTCATCCATGCGGTAGCCTATCTTAGAACCCCTGCCTCGTTTGAGCACAAGGATGCTCGGCTGTATGTCTGTTTGATAGGCTGTTGATCCACTCCTCTGTGGATGGGCCACTTGGGTGGTTTCCACTTTCAGGCGATGGCGAATGCCGCTGCAATGAACTTGGGTGGCCGTGTGTCTGCCTGGGGTCCTGCTTCCGATTCTTGAAGGTCTACCCCAAGGGGAGGACTTGTGGGGTCACACGGCAGGCCTATGTTTCACTTTTGGAAGAATGATCAGACTTGCTGTGAAGCCGGTGGTGTTCTCTTTCCAGCAGGCGTCTCCATCTGAGCAGCAGATCAAGGCTGCCTCGAGTTTGGAAGAGCTGCTCCGCATCACGCACTCCGAGGACTGGAAGCTGTGGAGATGCCGGCTGAAGCTCAAAGATGTCACCAGCCTAGACGCTCGCTCAGCGTCTCATCGGTCCACCAGGTTTGCCGCCACTTTCTATGACATCGAGACGCTGAAAGGTAGGTCTGCGAAGGAGAAGGCCAGTCCTTTCTCTTTATCAGATAAATGCACCCATCGGGCAGGCACGTTTTAGAAGGGGCGTGGGGGGGCCCTTTCCCAGCATAGGGGTCCTTGCAGAGTCCTGGTTCCCTGTCACCGCCATCAAGTTGATTCAGACTCACGGTGACCCTATAAGACCGGGGAGAAGTGCCCCTGGGGTTTCTGAGACTGTAACTATGGGAGTAGAAAGCCTCACCTTTCTCCCGAAGAGCAATCGGGGTAGTGGAGGGGGCGCGGTGAACTGCTGACCTTGCGGTTAGCAGTCCAATGCGTAACCCACTCCATCGCCAAGGCTCCTTTAGTGAGCAATATTCCATTTGATTTCAACATCAAAACCAACTGAAAAGGACACTTCAAAATACAGAATTCGACTTTTAACTCAGGGATGTAAAGACAAAAGAAATCCACCTAAAGGGATCTGAATAAAAAACAACAACAAAACCTCCTTAAGTTTACCTAGAAAGTAAAATAAGGTGGGTATTTACCAACAAGGAGTATGCACTTGACATCCCTACATTGAAATTTACCAATATATTAAGTACAGCTTTTTAAATGTCTTCAACATTCTTTGGCGTGCAGGGAAAAGTAGCAGTTGCAAGCTGAGTTATAGTATGGGAGACAGGTACCATATATACTCCAGTATAAACCGACCCGAATATCAGCTGAGGCACCTAATTTTACCACAAAAATTGCATTAAAAATGTGCTGAAAAACTCGGTTGATACACAAGTATATATGGTATGCCTAGGACACGAATGGATGCTGCTGCTACTCGAAGCACCCAGGACTCCAGACTGGCGAATAACAGCCTTGAAAATAAAGGAAAGGATCCGTCTCTATGCAAGGCTGGCAGTTTGCTACCAGGAGACTGTCACAGGCATGTGCAGTGCCCTAAGCAATGTGATGTTTGCCAGAGAATGTTGTGGCCTCCAGTTAGGCATTTAACTCTTTGGATGCCATCCACAGCACCAGAAGCCACGAGGGCATTGCTGAGTTGCAGTGTAGGCGTGGTTAACGTATGACCACTTGGTAACTGATAGAATGTGTTGTATAATTGAAAGCGTAGGTAATTTGTCTAATCAATGAAGTACTCCTCAGCTGCCCAAACATCTTGTATTTGTGTTTCAGTGAATTGAAGAAGCAACATAGGAGGAAAATGGTGGGTAGAGATGGGGGTGGTGAGAATGGAAAAGGAATATGCACAAGATGGAATAAGTAAGAAACTGGGGTAACATCTCAAACAATAGGACTGTATCCAGACTTGAAGCAGTGGTGGAGCTACTAATATATATTAGAACAACCTGGAGAAAGACTAATACATATGATTGTAGACAGGGTGTAGGTGGAGAAGGCATCATTTAATGCTGCATAACGAATGATGCTGGAATGTACTGGTTTACAATATGCTTTTATCTCACAGCTTTTGTGCATTAGGAATCCTGACGTGGCTGAGGTAGGTATGACTGCCTCAGGGTCTCCCAGGAGGCTACCATCAAGGGAACAGCTTGGACCATATTCATATCCAGATGCAGCTGTGTCAGGCTCCCCTTGCAAGTGCGCTCCGTGGGTCTCAGCAGGATTCACTATCTTGTAGGCTGTTGGCCAAAGCTGCCTTAGTTCTTGCCTTGCCATGTCGGCCCCTCTGACACAGGCGCTCAATCCAGCAAAGCATGCAAGCCCAAAAGACTAGCAAGAGATTGAGAGGTGGCAGCAAGATAAAAGAGAGGTTTCGTAGGAGACAGGAGGCAATCTTCTGCAACATAATCATGAAAGTGCTGCCCATCATGTCTTACTGTATTTGGTTCTTTAGCAACAAGTCACCAGACCCCACCCAGACTCAAGGGGACCAGGTTACTCAAGGAGGTGAATACCAGGAGGAGAGGATCTTGGGGTGTCAATTAAAAAGCAGCCTAGCACTAGGAGGAGTTTTATACATCCCCTTTTAACAAATAATACATGCCACAGTTCGATGGCAAGCGAAAAGAATGCCTGCACAGGTTGTCTTTATCATATAATGGAATCTTTTTCCAAATACAGCTGCAGAAAGGCCTATCCAATAGGAAGTATCAAAGTGACACACCTAATTTAAAAAAATAAACTCTGGAAGAAAAGCAAACACCGTTTTACTAAAAAGTCTGCATTTTTCTGTTTTATTCCCAGAGGCTTACCCCCTTTTTTTTCTTGTTTCCTCAAATGAGCTAGACTGACCAGAGATTGTTCCTTCCTTCGAAATGAACAGGGGCTCCTTTCATCATTAAGTTGGAGCAGTGGGCAAGTTACAAATGAGAAAGACTCTGACTTACAGAAAGAGCAGCTCCTCTTAACTTTCCATTCACACGTTTGCTAGATATGAATCCTACTAGAGTTACTTAGGCGGGATCCTGGTGGCATAGAGGTAACACATCAGGCTGCCAACTGCAAGGTCAGCAATTCAAAACCGCCTGCCATTCTTCAGGAGAAAGATGGGCTTTCTACTCTCCTGAAGAGTTACAGTCTCTGAAACTCACAGGGGCGCTTCCACCCTGCCCTGTGGGCTTACTGTGAGTCGGTATTGGCTCGATGACAGTGGGTTTGGTTTTGGAGTTTACAGTTACTTAATGAAGGCCTGGGGTGCAGCTGCTAAGTGCAAAGTCAGCAGTTCAAGGCCAGCAGCTGCTCTGCTGCACAAAGTGGGAGTCGGTTTCCGTACAAGTTCAAATTCATTGCTGTCCAGTACATGGTAACTCACAGTGACCCTGGAGGACCAAGAAGAATGGCCCCATGGGGTTTCTGAGGCTGTGAATCTTTATGGAAGCAGACTGCCCCATCTTTCTCCCGAGGAGGAGCTGGCGGGCTCAAAGGCCAACCTATCAGTAAAGCAGCCTTGGAAATCTTTGGGACAGTGCTATACCATGCTCTAGGGTGGCTATCAGTCAGAATGGCCCCCATGGCCACAGACATCATCGCGACAGTTCCTTAGGACTCAAGAGAGTCACATTTCTTCATGGTGCTGACAATGACCCTTCCACCTTGCGGGAGAGAAGGAAATGCTCTCCAGCTGTCTCCTGTAAACTGCTTGATAAATAGCATTTGTCCGTGATTCCTCTCTCTGCAGCCGCTGACTTCCTTATTGGCCTGCTTTTCTAGTTGCCCCCAATGTCGCTATGTGCCACAAAGACAAAGAAGAGAACTATGTCCTGTGAAGGGATGGTGAGGTGCCCTGGTGGTGCAGTGATTAAAGTGCTTGGGAGAAGTATGTGCGGCCTGCGCCTGTACAGATTCACAGCCTTGAAAACCTCAGGTGGCAGTTCTACCGCGGCCTATAGGGTTGGACTCGATGGCAGTCAGTTTTTGAAGAAATTAGAGAAATGGGGAGGAACACAGATTTGGGGTTGAAAACAATCTTCAGTCAAAGGGGTGACCAAAAGAAAAAGGAAAGAAAGAAATTCCATTGAATGAAATAAACCAGGGTTAACTCAAAAAAAAACAACAAATAACACCCAACAACAACCCAAATTCATTGCCATGAACTTCATCCTGACTCATCGGGACTAATCAGACAGACTAGAACTGCCTCTGTGGAGCAGAGCAGCAGCTGGTGGTTTTGAACTGCTGGCCTTGTGGCTAGTAGCCCACCATGGAACCCACCACACCACCAGGGCTCCTAAGCCATAGCTCCGAGTCAATTCTGACTCACAGCAACCCTCCAGGACCAGGAAGAACTGCCCCTGTAGGTTTCTGCAACTGGAACTCTTGAAAGTCTCATCTTTCTCCCGAGGAGCAGCTGGTGATTTTGAACTGTTTACCTGGAGATTAACGGCCCAACTCATAACCATATGCCACCAGGGCTCCTAAGCCAGGGCTAGAGAAGTGAAAAATATCTGTGTGGGACGTAACCCCTGCCCACGTGGCACTTGGCCTTCATGCTTCCTCCCCACAGTGATTGACGAGGAATGGCAGCGGACCCAGTGCAGCCCGAGAGAGACCTGTGTGGAGGTGGCCCGAGAGCTGGGCCAGAGCACTGACACGTTCTTCAAGCCGCCCTGCGTGAATGTCTTCCGCTGCGGCGGCTGCTGCAATGAGGAGAGCCTGGTCTGTGTCAACACCAGCACCTCGTACGTCTCCAAGCAGGTGCGAGGGCATGGAGGGGCTGGCCTGTCCCCACGCCTGGGGGGTCGGAGATGGTGTAGTATCGGCTTGGCTTGCCCAGCTTTGTGCTCGGGGCTTCATGTGGGTTAGTTGGCTCATGCGAGCCCCGAAAGAAGCTAATATGTATTCTATTAGCTCCCTTGAGAGATGAAGAAACTGAGGCTCAGAGAGGTAACTTCTCCAAAGTCACATGGCTAGGGATAAATGGAGATGGCGGTGCACAAAAGCCCTTTGCACATAATCCCTTAGAAGAAGCAACTCTTCCCCGTCCATCTTCTCCAATCCCTTGTGCCCATGTGGTGTGTTGTTCTTGCTCTCACTCCGATAGGGTGTCCAAAGCAAACTACGAGCGGATGAGAGTTGACAGTGTTGCTCTGCACTGGCCAGTCAGCTCCAACTCCCAGTGGCCCATCTACAGAGCGTAGCCTTCCCTGCCTCGGCGCCATCCACGCAATGTGTCAGGCTTGAGCCCGTCGTGGCAACCACCCCATCAATCCAGATGCGAGTAGCAGTAACCAAGTTAGGGAAATGAGCTAAAAAAACTCAGGAGCCAGACGATATCCCATTGGGGTATAGGTTGGGAATTCCTCACGTATCTGTGTTGGGAAAATAAAAAATGCAAACTCAGACCCCCCATGCATCGTGAGCCCCCGGGACCGCATCAACCGTTCTCTGCAGCTTCTGAGACGGCACATCTAGAACCGGGTACTGAGAGAGGGAGGAGAGTGGAGCTAGCTTGTGTGTCCCTTGGGTGCCGCGCTGCTCAATTGAAAAGAATGCTATGAGGAGTGGGAAGCCCCTCATGGTATGGTGGGTTAAGCATTGGGGGGGGGGGGGCGCTGCTAAACAAACCAGCAGTTCAAAGCCCCTAGAAAGTTGTCATTGTCACTCGGATCAGAGCATTTGGTGGGTTCAAACCACCAACCTTTCGATTAGCAGCCCTATGTTTAAGGCACCTCACCATTTGTCTAGGCTGTCTCACGATTACCAAACAAAGAGCCAGCACAATCACATCCCGTATTGCACCCAGTCTATCCATGGGTGATGGACATAATTACATGGACAGGATGGAATACTGTTTTACCCCCCAGCCCCACCCAAATTGCCCTTAAATTTCAGAGCTTCCTTATCCGGATCCTTTTACAGAATCTTGGACCTTGTAGAAACTCTGACCTCCACCGTTTGACAATTTGCAAGGTGAGGGGGGCTGGGGACGGGCGAGATGACAGGATGACTAAGCCCCCACTGTTGGGGAAGAACAAAACTTGCAGACTGTAAGAGGCTTTGGGTCGTGACTAGGTGGTCCCCTGGCGTCTCCTGCTGCAACACTGTCCATGAAGTGGCTTCGAAGCCAACAGTCTGGAAACCGATTCTGACTTGGACTGAAGACAGTTCTGTTACGCAGTGAAAGAGCCAAGTAAACACGGTTGTGATGGATTGCTTCCACTTCAGAATGAGAGGAGTAATGGATCTGGATGGCTCCACTCAGCAAATGAATCATTTAAAAGAACACATTTAAGCCTAGTTTATAACCCTTTTTTGAAAGCGTCATATTTAGACCCCCTGAGAGTAGTTTTAACTAAACAACAAACTACCTCTCACCCTCAAGTTATGGACTATTTGATGAACTACCTACCTCTTTGAAGCAAAGTGAACAAATGAATAGGCTGTTTAGTGCGAATTGCATGGGATGGTGATTAAGTAGGAAACACATTAAAATCCAGTTCGTATCCATCCATACTCAGAGAACCACTCTGGAGCCAAACTAACTTGCGACTCTGTAGGTTCTGGTGGCCAAGGTCTCACCTTGCTTCTTCCGGGTGCATCCAGTTCCCTTGAAAAAGCAATAAGGCTCACTCCTAAGAACTTCACCACTGGCTGTAAAGACTGCCTGAGTTCAAATCTCCACTCCTCCCATTCAATAGCTGTGTGGTTTTGGCCAAGTTCCATGACCTCTCTGTATATCTGATTGTTCACCTGTAAGGATGGGAATAAAATACTCATCCCATAATGTTGTTTTAAGGGCTAACTGGATTAATAGAAGAGTCCTCACCAAAAAAAGTCATTTCCTGGCCTATGGAAACACAAAAAGAATTATTTAAGTGTTCACTAGAGTTATACATTTGTGCATGATGATCTTGTATCAGTCAGCTATTACTACACAGCACTGCGTAACAAATGCCCTAACACTCAGTAGCTTCAAACAGCAATTTTTTAGCTTGCTCATATAGCTAAGGGTTGGTAACTGGAGTGGACTAGGCAGGGTTGGCTTATATGCTGCAGGTTGGCCCCAGTCTGCTCCCTGTGTCCTTCATCCCTATAACGAGCGGGCCAGCCAGATCATGTTCTCCTCTGACTGTGGCTGAAGCAGCCGAGAACAAGTCCCACCATGCATTCACACTTCAAACTTGCGCTTGTGGCATGGCTGCTGACATCCTATTGGTCAAAGCAAGTCAAGTCCAAGGTTAAGAGACAGGAAGTGGAGGTGGTGGTGATAATGGGAAGGGATAAGTATTAGCACAATAGTCAAATATGCCCCAAATCTCAAAGAATCTTCCTAACACTGATTTCCTTTCATCCTTAGCACTTACATCCAGATTTAAAGCAAGAACAGGGGCCAGCCGTGACCCTTTACAAGGGTACCAGAAACACTGCAGAGGGAAGAGACCTGACCTTACTTCAACACTTGGTCAAGTGGCTTAAAGCCCTACTCCCCTGACTTCCAGCACTCCATTCCTTAATATTATTAGTTCTCATTCTTAATAGTCAACTTTGCGAAAGTGACTACCTTAAGGGCGCGGGCAACCATGCCGACTATAGGAATTATTGTTTAGAAATATATGTGTGTTCATGGTTATCTTTCTCTGCTACAGCTCTTTGAGATATCTGTCCCTTTGACATCAGTACCTGAATTAGTGCCTGTTAAAGTTGCCAACCACACGGGCTGTAAGTGCTTGTCAACGGCTCCCCAACACCCATACTCAATCATCCGAAGGTCCATCCAGGTTGGCGAAGAAGATCGGTAAGTGATTCTTTTGCTCCACAACACAGCATCCTTCACGTGTGAGGCCTGCAGTGTTGGCTCTGTATTAAGTTCTTCTTCTCTTAGCTTCTAACCCAGATCTACTGGTAGTAACCATTTGGCAGTGCTAGCTGGGCATTTCAAGAGACCCCAAACCCTTACTATGCAGAGCCTATTGCGGTAGGGGTGTCCCTGGGTGGTGTAAACCTTTTTGTTCACGACTAGCCTAAAGGTAGGTGGGTTGAACTTGCCCGGCAGTACTGCAGAAGAAAGTCCTGGCAGTCTGCTTCCATAAAGAAACAAGCATCCCTCTAAGTGAGATGTCAACTAAGTCCACGTGGAAGAAGCACACCGTCATCAGTCACCGAAGGATTGTAAGCCATATGATCCAGAGTTGAAGGAGGGATTAGTATCAGAGTCTAAATTGTGAAAATCCAGTTTGCAGAAGGCTATAGATGACAGCGGGATCCCAAGACACATTTGTGGGAACTACATAGGAAATAAGCCTCTGGTGAACTCCCTCTATCCACAGTTGAGGGATGGGAGGTAAGTGGTTACTGAAGAGAGGGCACTGGAGAGATGAGTATAGGAGATCAAAGGCATAAATCTGACTCGAACAATTAAAACTTGTCAGTTGATCCCCCTCTGATGCATGCTGGACCTAATCTGGCTGTCAACATTTTCTGTATTTTTTATTTTCATTTGTTCATATTAGGGTGTACCTCAGAGGTGTTATGTCATTGGGGGTCAACTTCTTGAAGATGTGTTCTATGGTTTTCTGGTTTTCAGTATATAAAACCCAGGACTGATGAATTTATAGGATCAGCAGATAGAATAAGAGTTGGGTGGGGGGGCGATGTACAGTGCAGAGGATAAAAGGGAGATGATGTCAAGGAATTCAGAAAGAAAAAGGGTGTTTGGAAACTGATTGTGGGAGCAATTGTACAATTCTGCTTGACATGATCGAACTATGAAATGGTATGATGTATGTATTAACTCTTGATTAATAATAATGTTTTAAAAAAGAATACAGCCAAGAAAACTGGGATTAGACCCAACTCAACAGCACCAGGTTGTAATGCTCCTGTAAAAATGTGCTCTAACCTGATACTTGGAAAACGGCCTCTTTTCAGGAACAGGCCGAAATAAAACATCTGGCAAGCTGTTTCTATGTTTTGTTCCTGAAATCAGGGAGTGGTGTAATGGTCTGTGGCTGAGAATCCCTCTGCACTGCCATCAACTCGATTCGGACTCATACAGGACAGGGAGCATTGCTCCCCAGGAGTTTCTGAGACTGTAACTCTTTACAGGAGTAGAAAGCTCTGGCTTTCTCCTGAGGAGCAGCTGGTGGTTTCAAACTACTAATCTTGCACAACTTCACACCAACCGGAAATTTCTCATTTGAAATGAAACTGCCTTAATATTAATTTGTTATTGACTTTTCCTGGAGAGCATTTTGTGAAGTATTTTGAAACCACTACGGTAAAGACCATTGATTTTAAAAAGGAAATAGAAGGATTAATATAGAGAAGCAAATTGAAGGGTAAAAACAAAACAAAACAGAAAACCCACTCAATGAGAACATCAAGTACCTAAGTTGGTTACTTCGATTTTGCCACAGTGAAGCAGTTAACATTTTCATGAGAACGCAGTTGGGCTGCAGATCACAAGGTCAGCGGTTCAAAACCACCAGATACTCTGAGAGTTGCCGTCTCAGAAACCACAGATGCAGTTCTGTCCTGTCCTGCAGGGTCACCAGGAGTCAGAATGGACTCTATGGCAGCGAGGTGTCTTTAGCCAGTCAAAAGGCCAGCCGGTAGTTAGATCTTAACTGACATTTCATGTAGGCATTTTCTCAAGATACAACTAATTATCCGACTAGGCTGCTAACTGAAAAGTTGGTGGTTTGAGCCAACCGATAGGAACCACAGAAGAAAGTCCTGGTGATTTACGTTTGGAAATTAGTCACTGAAAACCCCGTGGAACGCAATTCAATAGACAGGGTTGCTCTGAAGCAGAGCTGACTTGGTAGCATGGCGCCTGGAAGACCCTGGCCCCTCTCCTCACCACAGCAGTATAGAAGCTCAGAGAAGAGGAACCCATGTTCTCCATGTGCCCCGGCTCCCCTTGTCTCCATTTTCAAGAAGATAATGCCTAGGGGCTATGCTCAAACAGTATTGACTCTAGGTCACTAAGCTCAGTTGACAGCAGTACTCTGCAGCATCTCTAACACCAATCTGTCCCCCAAAGATGATTACTTTCCCAAAGGGCATAGCATCTTCCTACAGATTTCAAAATAAATGTCATCTGTAGTAAAATGTATCTCTTGCGGTGCACACAGTTCACAAATGTCAGTTCGCATGGTAAACAATGTTCCAAAGATAATGATGACCCTTCAAAGCTTTTCAATCTGGTCCATTGTTCTCTTTCCCTAGATGTCCCCATTCCAAGAAGCTCTGTCCAGCTGATATGCTCTGGGACAGCAACCAATGCAATTGTGTTCTTCGGGAGGAGAATCCCTTCGGGGGGATGGAAGGTACTGATAACCCCCAACCCACTGCCATCGATTGATAGAGTTAATCTTGACCTACAGCAACTCCAGAGAGGATTTCTGAGGCCATAACTGTGTGTGTGTGTGTGTGTGTGTGTGTGTGTGTGTGTGTGT